GTGGGACTGCATTGGCTGGAGGAAGGGGAGACTTTTGCTTAAACAAAGGTGCCCTTAGTTTCCAAGCCCAGTTAATGAGGATCTGTTCTAACCAGAAAGACTACCATTTTTCTGATTCATTTACCCAGAGATGTATCCTTTAACAGATGAGAAAATAGAGGCTCAGAGAATTTAAATAACTTGCCAGCGTTTACTTAGCCATTCACTACATCACATCCATCAGACCAGAAAAACATAAAACTCTGAGAATACTAAGTATTGATCTGAATGCTGGAGAATAGATTTCTTAAAAATCAACTTCTGGTGGAAACATAAGATATAAGATTCTATTATAAAGACACTTGCACATATATGTTCACTGCAGCACTGTTTACAATAGCAAAGACTTGGAACCAACCCAAATGCCCATCGATGATAGATTGGACAGGGAAAATGTGGCACATATACACCATGGAATACTATGCAGTAATAAAAAACGATGAGTTTGTGTCCTTTGTAGGGACATGGATGAACCTGGAAACCATCATTCTCAGCAAACTGACACAAGAACAGAAAATTAAAAACCACATGTTCTCACTCATAGGTGGGTGTTGAATGATGAGAACACATGGACACAGGAAGCAGAGCATCATACACTGGGGTCTGTGGGGGAGAGCAGGGGAGGGACAGTGGGGGGTAAGGAGTTGGGGCAAGATAACATGGGGAATAATGCCAGATATAGGTGATGGGGATGGAGGCAGCAAACCACATTGCCATGTATGTACCTATGCAGCAATCCTACCTGTTATTCACATGTACCCCAGAACCTAAAGAGCAATAAAAATATATATATATATATATATATTTTTTTTTTTAAAAAAACTACACTAGGAAAAAAGATATAAGAGCTAAATAATCAGATATATTTCTATAATTAAGTTCTAGTACAGTCATAATTAGTAGTAGTCCATTTTGTGTTGCTATAACAGAATATAAATAATACTAGCCTGGATTATTTATAATGAAAATAAACTTATTTGGCTTATGATTCTGGACACTGAGAATTTATTTGGCTTATGATTCAAGAGCGTAACATGGGCATCTGGCAAGGGCCTTCGTGCTGTGTCATCCTATGGTGGAAGGTGGAAGAGCAAGAGAGGGCAAGAGTGAGAGAGCAAGAAAGGGCCAAACACACTTTTATAACAGATCCACCCTTGGAATAACAAACCCACTCCTGTGAAAACAGCATTGATGCATTCATGAGGGGATATCCCTCATGACTTAATCACCTCTTAAGGTCTTACCTCTCAACAGTGTTACAATGGCATTCAAAACTTCAACATGAGTTTTGGAGGGGACATTCATATCATAGCATTCCACCCCTGGTTCCTCAAAAGTAACATCCTTCTCACATACAAAATACATTCATCCCATCCCCATAGCTGCTAAATGTCTTAACCGATTCCAGCACCAACTCAAAAGTCCAAAGTCAAGAGTCTCATCTAAATCAGATATGGGTGAGACTCAAGCCATAATTTATCCCAAGGAAAATTTCTCTTCACCTGTATAAGCTTGTGAACTAATGTTACATCTTTCCAAAATATAATGTAAGACAGGCATAGAATAGACATTCCCATTCCAAAAGAAAGGAATAGGCAAGAAGAAAGAGGTGACTGGTCCCGAAGAAGTATAAAACCCAACAGGGAAACCAACATTAAGCCTTAAAGCTGGAAAATAATCTCCTTTGACTCCCTGTCCCACATCCTGGGCACCCTGGGGTTAGGGTTGAGCCCTCAAGCCTTTGCTGTGGTCAGTCCATTCAGCAGCTCTCACAGGTTAGAGTCTAGTGCCTGCAGTTCTCTCAGGCTGGTGTTGCACACTAGTAACTCTGAAGTTCTCGAGTGTCAGGGGCAATTCTGCTCCCACAGCCTCACTAGGTATACCCTGGTAAAGACTTTCTATGATGGCTCTGTTCCTGCAGCAAGTTTCTGCCTGAGCCCACAGGCTTCCTGTAGCGTCCTTTGAAATCTAGGTGGAGGAAGTCATGCCTTCATAGCTCTTGCATTGTGCATCCCTACAGAATTAACACCAAATGGTTGCCACCAAAGTCTACCAATTGTACCTTCCTTCCAGAGTGTTGGGTCAAGCCACACCTGGGGTTACTTGGACCACACCAGGAGCAGCCAAAGAACACTGTCCTGTAATGCAGGAAGCAGAAACTCCAGGTGCCTCTGGGCAGCTAGCCTGTGAAGGGCACCCTGTGCCTATTCCTCAAAGCCATTCTGCCCTCCTGGATCTCTAGGCCTGTGATTGAATGAGCAGCCTCAAAGGTCTCTGAAATGTCCATTGTCTTGATTAGCCCTTCTATTTATACTAAGCTCATTAGCAAATGGTCAGTTGGTCACACCCTTGGTCTGCTATCTTAAGCATACTTTTTCATTCTTCATGTGGGAAGGCTGAACATTTTCAAAATCTTTCCATTCTGCTTTTTTTTTTTTAAAGTTATAGATTCCATCTTTAAGTTATTTCTTTTCTCTTACATTTTACTGCATATGGTTAAAAGTAGCCATGCAGATCCTTCCATATTTTGCTTAGAAATTTCTTTCACTCTTAAATTCTGCCTTCCATAAAGCCCATGGGCATGGACACTGATAATAGTTTTAATCTGTGTCCCTGTACAAACCTTAGGTTGAATTGTAATCCCCAATGTTGTAGGTTGGGCCCGGTGGGAAGTGATTGAATCATAGGGGCAAATTTCTCATGAATGATTTGCACCATTCCCCTTGGTACTGTCCTTGCAATAGATCATGAGCTAGTTCTCATGAGACCTGGCCATTTAAAAGTGTGTAGCCCCTCCTCCCTCTCTCTTGCTCCGGCCCCTGCCGTTGGAAGGTGCCTGCTTCTCTTTTGCCTTCTGCTATGATTGGAAGCTTCTAGAGGCCTCCTCAAAAGCAGAGGCCACTATACTTCTTGTAAAGCCTGCAGAATTTAGAGCCAATTAAACCTCTTTTTTTTTTTTTATAAATGTCCCAGTCTCAGATATTTATTTATAGCAATGTGAGAACAGACTTAACGCAGGCAGAATTCAGTTCCTTGCCACTTCATATAAAACGATGGCCTTTATAAAAAGGATGGACATTCCTCTTTCTGACTCAGCTTTCATCAAAATGGCCATGACTTTTCATATTTCTACCAATATTCTGATCACAACCACATAAGTTATGTCTTAAAAGTTTCAGATTTTTCTACATTTCTTCTTTTCTTCTGAGTTTTTATTAGAATTTCCTTTAATGTTCAATTTATGGCAGTCTAGGATTTTTCTAGTCTGCTCTTCCAAATTCTTCCAACTTCTGCTCATTACCCAGCTAAAAGCCACTTTCACATTTTCAGTTTTTATAGCAAAAGCCCCACTCTTGGTGTACATTTTCTATCTTAGTCTGTTTTTGGTTGTTAGAATAGCACAGGCTAAGTAATTTGTAAAGAAAAGAAGTTTATTTGGCTCATGATTTTGGAGGCTGAGAAGTGCAAAGTCATGGTGCTGGCATTGGCAAGGGCCTTTATGCTGTGTCATTCCATGGTGGAAGGCAGAAATACAAGAGGTAGAGAGAGCAAGAGAGGCTGAACTCTCTTGCCCTGTCATGAATTTATTCACTCTCATGAAAATGAATCCATTTTTCCAATAGTGACATTAATTCATTCCTGAGAGCATAACCGTCATAACCTAATTACCTCTTAAAAGTTCCATCTCTCAACACTGTACAATGGCAGTCAAATTTCTTTCTTTTATTTTTTTGAGACAGAGTTTTGCTCTTGTTGCCCAGACTGGAGTGCAATGGTGCCATCTCGGCCACAACCTCCACCTCCTAGGTTCAAGTGATTCTCCTACCTCAGCCTCCCGAGTAGCTGGGATTACAGGCATGCATCTCCACGCCTGGCTGATTTTGTATTTTTAATAGAGATGGAGTTTCTCCATGTTGGTCAGGCTGATCTCGAATTCCCAACCTCAGGTCATCCACCCACCACAGCTCTTCTGAAACTCTGGGATTACAGGCGTGAGCCACTGGACCTGGCCGGCAATCAAATTGCAGTAAGAGTTTTGAAAGGGACATTCAAATCATAACAGTAGTAAATCTAGGAAACACATACTGTGCATATACTTTGACCTATTTTTAAGTTTGTTAATTCTTTCTTCAGCTATATTGTGTCTACAAATGAGCCTATGAAATAATTCCTCATGTCCCATATCATGGTTTTATTTATAGCATTTCCATTACATTCTTTCTTATAGTTTTAAGCTCTCTACCAGAAACCCTCTCTTGTTTATGCGTGTTGTCCACCTTTTCAACATCATCTAACATTTTCATTACACATACTATGTTTGCATTAAGTGAATATTTTCTATGACAGTCAACCCTTCATATCCGTGGATTCTTCATCTTGGATTCAACCAACTGCAGATAAAAAATATTTGGGGGAAAATGGTTGGTTGTGTATGTACTAAACATGTACATGCTTTTCTAAAATCATGATTTCCTAAACAATATAGAATAACAACTATTTACCTTGTATTAGGTAGTATTATAAGTAATTGAAAAATGATTTAATATACAATTTTATATGAAGAACTCGAGCATCTGTGGATTTCTGTATCTGTGGGGTTCCTCTTTTGGAACCTTGGCTTGAAACCAAGCCCTCACAGATACGGAGGGACCACTTTGTGACATTTTAAATCCTTTGTTGATTTTTTTAGTTATATTTTAAATGAATGCTCTAGAGCTTAACATATATATCTTTCTTTTCAGAACTAAAAAATGACTTATTTATTGAGGGCAAGAGGATGCAAACAATACCAAAATCAAAAGCTTGTCTGGCATTTAACTTTTCTTTCTCTGCTCATCCAATGGGAGTTAGATTTTATTTGTACACTTGCTAAGGGTCCTGATCTGCTCATGAAATCCTTATATGGGGGAAGCTGCAGGGCAGATTCCCTAAGTGACCCTTTGGGACAACTCTTCTCAGGGCCGGGGGAATTGCTCATTTCTGCCTACTTCTTTCCCTTCTGCTTCATGTGTACTACAAAATAGTCATTGCATGTAATGGCGAGGCCTGCAATTAGGGAAAAGAAGCTCTGGAAGCCCACTTTGCCATCTCTGTACTGGTGCAGGTCCTTCATTATTTTGTCCATGGCCAGAGGGTCTTTTTGATTTTCAAAAAATCCAGGGAACTCCTTTTCCATGAGTACTCTCAGGTCCTCCTTTGTTAAGTAGCCTTTATCTCCAGCAAATTTGTGAAATGTAGACATTATGATTTCCACGGCATGTTCCATTTGAGATGGCATTTTGGTGTGGCCTGTCGAAGCCTTGGCCAAGGCACGGTGGACGCTGGGCTAGCTAGTCACAGGGCGGCGAAGCGAGCGCAGTGGGCTGTGAGCCTTCCTTAGTACGTGCGGTGGGTGGGGAGCAGCATATATATCTTATAAGATTGACTTCAGATTTGTAGTAACAATGCTAGTGAGATATAAGAGCATTACTTTTATACAGCTCTATTTTTTCCCTCCTTTCGTTCTACTATTATTGTAATACATATTTCACCTATTTAGTCACAAACTTAACAATATATTGTTTTAATTGTTACTTATGATTTTAAAGGAGTTAGGAGAAGAAAAGAGAACATTCACAGATTTCTAGCATTTATAATGTTAACTGTATTTATTTTTTCTGGTTATCTTCATTTGTTTCTCAGATTCAGGTTTTTATGTGATATCATTTCATTAGTCCAAAACAGTTCTGCTCCTACCTAACTCTTTTGTGCTATTTTTGGTAAATATATTACATTTCTTTATGTGTTTCAGTCACAAATACAGTATATACTTGTTGTTTTATAGAACTTTTTAAAAACTAGTTAAAAGAAGAGAGAATAAACATGCATTTATATTTTCTTTTATAATTACTGCATATTCTTTATAATTATTTACCATAAAAAAACTTACTTTTATCACTGCTTTTAATTTTATTTATGTGGATTCTAAATACTGTCTGGTGTCACTTGCTTTCAGTCTGCAGAACTTCCTTTAGTATTTCTTGTAAGTTTGGTCTGCTAGCAACACATTCTCTCATTTAGTTTATCTCAGAATTCCTGTCTTCTTAATTTTTGAACGATGATTTTGCTGGCTATAGGATTTGTGGTTGACCTTGTTTTTTCTTTCACCACTTGGAATATGTCATCCTGATCCCTTCTGGTCTCAGTTGTTTCTGATGAGAATTCAGCTGTTGATCTTATTGAGGTTCCATTAAATGTGGGAAGTCATTTTTCTCTTGCTGCTTTGAAGATATTTTTCTCCTTGTTTCTCAGTGATTTTACTGTTATGTGCCTATTGTAGATCTCTTTGTGTTTATTCTACTAGAAGTTTATTGACCTTTGTGGGTGAGTAGATTAATGTTTTTCATTGAATTTGAGAAGTTTTCAACCATGATATCTTCAGATATTTTTGATGTTCTGTATCTCTCCTATTCTTCTGGTACTTCCATTACATGTATATTGGTACGCTTAGTGGTATCCCATATTTCTCTGACACTTTTTCATTTTTATATATTTCTTCTTTTTCTTGGATCTTTGGATTGCATAATTTCTATTGACCTGTCTTAAAGTTTACTGATTATTTCTTCTATCAGTTACAAGATACAGTCGTGCTCCTCTGGTAAATTTGTTCACTTTACTTATTGTACTTTTAAACCCTAGAATTTCCATTTCGGCCTTTTTATAATTTTGATATTTTTGTTGATATTCTCTACTCAGAGAAACATTGTCATCATACTCTTCTTTACTTTTTAAGCAAAATTGTTTCCTTTAATTCTCTGAACATATTTATAATGTCTACTTTGAATTTAAATGTTACATATGCCATCTGGTCCCTCTCACGTACAGTTTCTATTGTTGGCTTTTCCTCCTGTGTATGAGTCACACTTTCCTGTTTCTTTGCATATCTTGTAATTTTGTTGAAAACTACATGGTTTAGATATTATATTATATCACTATGGATACTGTTATCTCACTTCCAGGGGATTATTATTGTAATTTGATTGTCAAATTGTTTAGTGTCCTGGCTGGGCTATATTAGTGGAGTCTGTAGTCATGCACCACATAACAATGTATCATTCAGTGATGGACTGCATATAATATGAGTGGTTCTATAAGATAATAGTGGAGCTGAACAACTCCTCATGACATTGTAGCAGTTGTAACATCATAGCACATCACATTTCTCATGTGTTTGTGATGATGCTGGTATAAATAAATGTGCCATGGTGCAGTTGTATAAAAGCATAGCACATTGAATTAGAAATATAGCACAGTACCTAATGCTTGGTAATAATAATAATTTTATTAATTTATGTATTTACTATACTATGCTTTTTATCATTATTTTAGGGTATACTCATTCTACTTACAAAAAAGGTGTTAACTGTAATATAGTCCCAGACAGATCCTTCAAGAGGTTATGCCAGAAGAAGCTATTGTTATCATAAGAAATGACAGTTCTATGCTTTTTATTGCCACTGAATACTTTCCACTGGGACAAGATGTGGAGGTGGAAGACAGTGACACTGATGATCTTGACCCGTTGTAGGCCAGGCTAACATGTGTGTTTGTGTCTTTGTTTTTCTTTTGTAAGTTTAAAAGGAAAAAATAAATAAAAATAGAAAAAAAGCTAATAAAATAAGAATCTAAAGAAAGAAAATATTTTTGTACAGCTGTAAAATGTGTTTGTGTTTTAAGCTAAGTGTTATTATAAAACAGTCCAAAAGTTAAAAAAAAAAGTTACAGTATGCTAAGGTTTTGCCCTAGGTCAACACATTTACCTATCATTTCCCACTGACTCACCCAAAACAAATTCTAGTCCTGCACACTCTATTTATAGTAAGTGTACTTTTCTTAACCTTTTATATCGTATTATTACTGTACCTTGTCTATGTTGAGAAAAGAAATGTTTGCCACTGTGTCACACTTGCCTAGGGTGTTCAGTATAGTACTATGCTGTGCAGGCTCATAGACTAAGAGCACTAGGCTATACCGTGTAGCTTAGGTGTACCATAGGCTATGCTATCTAGCTTTGTTGAAGTACACTTTATGATTTTCATACATTGACAAAATCACTAAACAATGCATTTCTCAGAATGTATTCCTGCCATTAAGTAATGCATGACTATTTCCTGGCTGTGTGTACTCTCCAGTGTTGCTCTCAGAAGGTGCAGTCTTAGGCCTGTATGCAGAACCTGAAGTAATAGTGATTTTCACAGGGATACTTTGACTGTCACACTGATCACACACAACTGTTAGGCTCCACTCATTGCCAGCAGATGATTGTATTACTTTTTATAATGCCCTGGGTTGTAAATTGTTTCATAGGCTGATGCAAACAATTAAGTTTGGATTCCTTTATAGCAGTTGCTTTGAGGTCAGATTTCTTAGCTGTCTCTTTCTTGGGCTCTCCCAGTTATTCTACCTGGCCTATAATTTATTTCTTACCTCTCATGAATGTATCAGCTTTTTTCTTTGCCTTCCACTAAAACCTTCATTGTTTTTGAGAGTTTCTTTGGACTTGAACTTTCCTACCCTCTGTTTCAAATAAAGTGAGTTCTTTCAGAGCCTTCTGTTTTATGGCCTGACTCTTCCCCTGAGCAAAGTATCTGAGCCATAGCTCTGGAGCTGGTGGGTGAGGACAGTGGTGCAGTTCTCACTAACTGACAACTCTGCTTTAGTTTCAGGGTGGTAGGCAGCGGTAGCATCTTTGAACTTCCTGGATTGCCTTTCCCGGTGTACAGCTTCTACTCTATGAGTGAGGATGACTGGGATTCTAGCATCCTCAACGTGCTTCTCTCGAGCCAGACCCCCTGCTCTGTGAGTTAGGACTGGGTACAAGCAGGAAGTCTCTGACCTCTTGTCTTTCCTCTCCTGGAAATTAGCTTCTGCAGTGTGTAGTTGGAAAAGAGATGGATGAGCAATGCTTGGCCACCTACCCCTTCTGGGAAGATGCCACAGCCCTTGACTGGGAGCTGGTAGTAAAGAAGCCCAGTGCTCTTGGCTGCACATCGCTGGAGTGGATTTTCTATCATAATGAGCTGGGAGGTGGGAGGAAGTAGTGAGTTGTGGTTCAAATATCATAGACTCTCACTCTTCCTACCAAGTTTTGATAGATCTTCCTAAATAAATGTTTTCTTTGTTTGCAGTATGCCCTTAGTACAATTTCCAGATACTTGAAGTGCTTTTTTAAATGCTTGTTTTCACCAATTATCCTTGTTTAACTGGCCTGGCAGTCTGCAGAGCTCATTGTCAATCATAGCTGTGTTAAAGCTGCTCACCGATAGTTCCAATGTCTGGATCAGCTCTGCGTTGAGTTCCCTTGTTTTTTCCTCTTGAAAATGGGTTGTTTTTCAACTGTTCAATATACAATGTACAGCCTTTAAAAAAAAAATGATAAGGCAAGGAAACAATCCATTCTCAAGAGTAAAAAACAATGGAACTCAATGCAGAGCTGATTTAGACATGGTAACTATCGGTGAGCAGCTTTAAAGCAACTACGATTGGTGGGGAAGCTCTGCAAGTAAGCAAGTCTGGCCAGATAAACAAGGATAATTGGTGAAAACTATTATTTAAGAAAAGCACTTAAAATCTGGAAATGAGCAAACCTCTCCTCTGGTCGAGCTTGAAGTTTGACTTCAGTTAATCTGGTTGGGAAGTTGAGCTGTTTGGTTGTCTTTAGCGAACTGTATGCTACACGTTCCTTTAGTCTTGCCTTACTGTTGTCTTGGGCTCAGGGTTTTTAGATTGGATTTAATACAGAAACAGTAACCAGTGGAATACTTTACATTTGTGAGATATTTTAAAACCTTCACAGTGTTATCACAGCTGTTTTTTATGTTGATCTCTTGGCCAAACCAGATAGACTTTGTATAAGGGATAGTCCTTCATCTCTTGGTCATTATTTCCAGTATGCTGGGACCGTGTGGTCTTGGTAATGCAATTTGTTTGCAACTTTTTCTCCTGAATTTATTTTTTATTGTTCTGAAGGCCATGAACCTGCATGGTTCAAAACTGTTTTGAACAGTTTTTCACAAAATCACCCATATGTACATTTACTCTTTTCCCCTAGATTTACTGGCAATTTCTTTCATATGGTTAGTACTAAATACCATTCTTAAAGAAATGACCACATGTTAAATTTGTTTTCTGTTCTTGACCATTATGTAAAGACTTGGGCACTCTTTTCCAGAATTAAGGTAGAGGGGATAAAACTTTTTTCTTTAACTTGTGTTTTTGCCTCCTATTCACTTTTTGAGA